GTCTACACTGGCTGCTTGAATTTCCGCAAGAACACTGACTTCCTACTGTCTGAAATCAGTGCTTCTTGTGGAAATACTATGCTGCTCCTGTTCAGGCAAAAGTCCCTTTTGCGCAAAGCTTTTGCACAAAATGGCCAGTGTAGACATCTCAGATTTGTTTTGCACAAAAAAGCCCCGATCGCAGCTTTTTTGCGGAAAAGCGTGTCTAGATTGGCACGGACGCTTTTCCGCAAAAAGTGCTTTTGTGGAAAAGCAGCCGTGCCAATCTAGACGCTCTTTTCCGCAAATGCTTTTAACGGAAAACTTTTCCGTTAAAAGCATTTGCGGAAAATCATGCCAGTCTAGACGTAGCCTGTGTGTCTTCACAAGCCGCCCAGTATTTCAAAGTATTTTTCAAAATAGCGGGTGCGCTATTTCAGGATTCTGGTAACCCTTGTTCCATGAAGATTAAAGGATGTCAAACAGCCTATTTCAAAATTCGATCGAAATAAGAAAATCTTATTTTGAGTTTCAGGTGCTATGTAGGCGCACCTTTATTAGGTAGGGATAACAGCCTTGCTCAGGGGCTGTGGAGTATTCAAAAAGTAATTCTGACATGTAGACTGGGCTCATTGCTAAGCCTTATGCTGGGGTTGCTTTTCAGCCCAGCCCATGCTAGTACAAGGTACTCCCACGAACTGCTGAAACCACTGAGCACTGGGGTAATTTGCAGAGGACGCCAAACTGCTCAAGATTGTTAAGACCAAAGCAGACTGTGAAGGGCTTCAAAAGGATCTCACCAAACTAAGTGATTAGGCAACAAAATGGCAAATGAAATGTAATGTTGATAAATGTAATAATGTTTTAATGTTGAAAAAATAATCCCAGCTATACATACAATATGATGGGAACTAATTTGGCTACAACTACTCAAGAAAGAGATCTTGGAGTTATTGTGGATAGTTCTCTGAAAACATCCACTCAGTGTGCAGCGGCAGTCAAAAAAGCAAACAATGTTCAGAATCATTAGAAAAAGAATAGAGAATAAAACGGAGAATAATTTACTGCCTCTATATAAAACCATGGTACCCCCACATCTTGAATGCTGCATACCTATGTGGTTGCCTCATCTCAAAAAATATCTCTTTGGAAAAAGTTCAGAAAAGGGCAACAAAAATGATGAGGTGTTTGGAATGGGTCCCATATGAGAACAGATTACTAAGTTTGTGAGTTTTCATCTTAGGGTGCATCTAGACAGCACCTTTCTGTCGGAATAAGATACGCAATTTGCGCTATGAGTCTAGGTCGAAAGAGCTTATTTTGAAATTTGGTGCTGTATAGTCTTGTGCTTATTGGATAATCAACTAGTTAACTAGTCACTTACATCTCTAGTCCTTATTGCTACCAGCATCATCTAGCACATGGGCTACATACGGGTGGGATGAGGCAATGGGTTCAGATGCAAACACTGTGCCCACTGCGGTAAATATGACCCATCTCCCTCCTGCTTCCAGAGAACCCTGGGATGAGTCCAGCCCATGAGCCAGGAGCTGTCCTTCCCCTCATGACTGCTGCCCTGGGATTCCCACCAGTTTCCGGCTCCTGGCACCATGTTACCATCCTGGGGCAAACAGCCAGAGCAGGTTGTAACTTCTCTGCAGCTTCACATCCCCAAGAACACTGCAGGAGGAAGAGCTCCAGGAGGAATAAATCCGACACCTACTTGCCACTCTGAGGTTTCCTTCTCCTCTTCTGATGCCAGCACCAGGGCCTCCTCCAGCTCCTGCCTCAGATGGCTCAGGGCTCTCTGAAGTTTCTCCTGCAGAGGTGTCACATGTGAATCGTGGGAGGAGGGTGAGAAATCACAGATAAGAGACAGACCAGTGCATTGTAGCCAGAAGGTGCAGCCTGGGGAATATTCTTGGGCAGGGACCCCTGGGAGGGAGGGAAATCCCCAGGAAGCAAGGTGGAGAATCTCAGCTGCAGGACTTTCCGTGCCGTTAGCTAGGATTGCACTGTCTTGCTAGCCTGACGGGTGGTGAGCCAAGCATGTGGGAACTGCTCGGTGCTCTGAGCAGCCAGAAATCAAATCCATGGGCCAGACAAGCGTGGAGTCAGCAATCGGAACTCGAGCAGAGAGACCCTCTTGCTTTATCGGCCTTGACAACTGCGCCTGTCCTGCCTCAGAGAGCGGAAACAAGCAAGGCTGCGTGTGGAGAAGAGTAAGCCAGTCAAGCACTATATTAGAATGGGCCTGAGGGACACGTGTTTTATTTTCCTGGACTGCCCAGCAGAGTCCCGTATGGAGCCTCGATCTGCCAAGGCAAGATAGCGGGAGAGGAGCAGTTATACAATTCAGGAGTATTCATACTTAATTTAGTGCCCAGAGGCCTTGGCTCCACCGGGCTGGGCACATTACAAAGCTAGAAGGCCACATGGCCATTGCTCTGAAAAGACGGACCAATTACAGTTCATAGCTGGAGCATGTGCGTATTTTCCTCGGTATGCACATAGGAGTGGGGCTGATTTATTAAAAACTCCTGAGGAAGATGTTTTCAGGCACGGGGTGGGGGGCACGCACCAGGGGAAGAGAGCACTTTATGTAACTAACAGGATCCTTTCTGGAATGGGGAATTCACCTAGAATTGCCTAGTGGTCTAGTTCGGATGAGGAAAATCAGCAGCCTTTGCAGAAACAGCTTAAAACATTTCTCTGTGGTATCACCACTTGGAACTAGGTAGGGACTCTAGTCTCACGGCTGGGGTGGGTCAGGCTGTCCTCTAACCTGATGCTGGAAAGTGATATTTGTGTGTCCATGGCTGAAGTGTGGATGCTGCAGGAGGCAGGGCCAGATGAAGCAGAGGCCCTACAAACCCAGGCCGAGGCCCCAGCTCCTGCAGTACATCAGGCTCCTGGCTTCCATTACAAGGGAATTGCCAAGGAAGCACTGGACACATTCCCTGAGCATGACACCTGCCTGAGCCTGCACAGAGCCTGGGCCAATTCTCCCTTCCACGTGTAGGGGGCATGGACACCAAGCCTTACTGCTCTGGGAGCCCAGCCAACACCTTCCCAGCAGGAGGATGTGGTTGTGGGGGGCAGAGGAGCAGCCCCTGTCTCCCCACCCCGTCAGAGTCACCCCGTTTGCTGGGGCAGCCTGTCCTTTTTCCTGTCTCTCTTGGAGGAGGTGGGAGGAGATCCCTGATGCAGGGCCTGTGGGCATAAGGGAGCTCTCTTCCCCTTGTGCTCCTGTATTGCTAGAGCCCCCAAGCTGCTCCCCCTACCTGCCAAAGAGGTTGCAGCAGACAGCCCTTGAGTGGGTGGCCCCTTCCAAAGCCACTGCCAGGGAAGGAGGGAGCCAGTGTCACGCAGGGCGCCATGACAGGGTGTGATGCCTGGGCCGCCCCAACCCCTCCCTGTGTGAAACACGCATTTCGGTAGCAAAGCTGGGAGAACGCCCTGGGCAGAGGCTGCAGGGCCCTTGGGCAAGGTCTGGATGATGCTACTCTCAGAGCTGCCTCAGGAGCTCGGGAGTGTCGCTGTAGGTTCAGGACACTGAGGCCAACCCCCACCCCAGCTGCTCTTAGTGCTCCCTAGGGCATTGGGGAGGGGGAGCCTTAAAATGAGTGGACACCCCTAGCATCCGGGATCTGGCCCCTTCTTCCGTGTCCCTCCCCCCACTGCCTCATTTCCCACTCATCTCAGGGCAGCTCCCCATGTCCAATTCCCCTCCCCCACAGGCCCCACATCCCTGCCTTTGGGCCCCTCCTCAAATACCCCTTCCCACAACACCTCAGTGAGCTGGAGGTCCACAGAAATTGCCCTGAGAATCTCATGCAATTCCTCCTTGATACTGCAAAGAGGCGAACAAGGCCCAACCCCAGTGTCTCAGCCAGCCCCTCGGGCCTCACCCACACCCTGGAAAGGGAAGGGAACAAGTCCTGGTTTCCCCCCCACTCAGATGCCCTAAGGGGGCGGTGGTCACCTCACGCTGAACTGAGCTGGAGGTCCACAGAAATTGCCCTGAGAATCTCATGCAATTCCTCCTTGATACTGCAAAGAGGCGAACAAGGCCCAACCCCAGTGTCTCAGCCAGCCCCTCGGGCCTCACCCACACCCTGGAAAGGGAAGGGAACAAGTCCTGGTTTCCCCCCCACTCAGATGCCCTAAGGGGGCGGTGGTCACCTCACGCTGAACACCCTGTCTCTCCCAGAGACAGAAGCGGTTGGCTCCACTCTACACGGCCCTGCTGTCAGGGGGCCGGGAAGCCAACTGGACCCCTCACTGTCCAGCCTAGCACTACCTGAATCGACCTCCCTTAAACCAGCTCAGTTCCCACTGGCCCCCAGCCGCTGGCTCTGGGGAGGAACACAATGGGGTCTTGCTGGGATTCCTTCAGGAACAGCATCTGTGATTCCTGTTAATCCCCATGCACTTGGGCCTCCCTATGTCCTTCCATGCGTGACCTAACTTACACTAACGAGGTTGCTGAGTTAGTCTGTAACAGGATAAACTTTAAAAAACCAACAAATGGTCTGGTAGCACTTTATAGACTAACAAAACATGTAGATGGGATCATGAGTTTTTGTGGGCACAACCCACTTCTTCAGATGAAGTGTCTAAGTGGGCTGTGCCCACGAAAGCTCGTGATACCATCTACATGTTTTGTTGGTCTATAAAGTGCTACCAGACTATTTGTTTTTTTTTAAGTTTATCCCAATTTACACAATCATACAGTTATCAGTAGGGCCCCTTTCTTGGCTGCTGTGTAACTGAACCAAAGTCTTGCTCACTAGATTGTAGGCCGTTTGCGGTTTTCATGTTACAGGCCTTTACTCAGGCCTGCTGACTCCATCTTCCCAGCCCTCAACTTACTACAATTCCTACCTTGTAACTCTGGGAAGCTTCTTCGACGGGGAGGACTGGGTGAGCCCGGTGAGCCCGGGACTCCCTGCAAACAACACAGATGGCCTCTCCATCCTCCTTGCAGAAGAGCTGGAGCTTCTGCTGGTGCGTCTCACACAGATTCTCCTCCTGCGCTTTCCAGGGCTGTAACCTCAGTGTTTTGATACTCTCCACGATATCGGCCAGCTGCCTGTTGGGACGCAGTGTCTGTTGCTGGAAGGGGGCTCGGCACTGAGGACAGGGGAGCGCTGTGCCCAGTTCAGGCTCCCCTCGCTCACAGAACTGGGTGAGACAGGCTTGGCAGAAGTTGTGCCCGCATTCGATGGTCACTGGCTCCGTCAGATACTCCAGGCAGATGGAGCAAGTGGCTTCTTCTAACGCTGTCCCCAGGGGTGTCAGAGAGGCCATGGCTGCCTGTGTCTTGTGGACGGCTGGTCCCCTTGCTTCGTGGATTGGCTCTTTGTAGGCCTAGAATGAGCTGAGGAGGAGGGTGGAAAGGGGGGCTCCCACAGAGAAAGGAAAAGTGAATTGGGGAGATAAGAGAACAAATAAGAAAATACAATTGACCTTCCATACGTTACTGGAATAATCAGAACACAGAATTTAGAGCACTTGGTTTGTCAACATCAGCTCCTTACTGGAAGGAGGCCTCTGTCTGAGGAACAATTTGGCCAAATGTCTCTAAGTTGCACCATTAATACTCTGGCCCCAACATGGCCCAATACTTAAAACAATCTTAGTCTGCAGGGTTTTTTAAAGAGCTTTATCAGCTCTTAAAGGAAACTCCGCTGGTGCTGCACATCTTCCAACAGGTGCTCATCTCTGAAGAGGTCCATGGTGCTGTGCACTTGTTCGGGTGTATAATATAGGCATGGGGGGAGGGGGTCAGGGTGCAGGATTCAAGTGTGTGGGGAGGGCTCAGCATAGGGGGCTGAGAGGTTGGGGAGGCTGGAGCTGGGCTGCCCATTCCTCCAAGGTTCCTTGCAGGGGGTGGGACCAGCACTGGGCTGTCTGCCCCGCAAGGAAG